ACCTGAGATCGCCCATAGCCTAGGTTCTTCCTCAAATCATCGTCGAACCTGAGATCGCCCATAGGTTAGGTTCTTCCTCAGATCATCTTAGAACCTGAGATCGCCCGTAGGCTAGGTTCTTCCTCAGATCATCTTAGAACCTGAGATCTCCCGTAGGCTAGGTTCTTCCTCAGATCATCGTAGAACCTGAGATCGCCACTAGGCTAGGTTCTTCCTTAGACCATCGTCGAACCTGAGATCGCCCATAGGCTAGGTTCTTCCCATAAATCATCGTCGAACATAAGATCGCCCATAGGCTAGGTTCTTCCTCAGATCATCGTCGAACCTGATATCGCCCATAGGCTAGGTTCTTCCTCAGATCATCTTAGAACCTCAGATCGCCCGTAGGCTAGGTTCTTTCCATAGATCATCGTCGAACCTGAGATCGCCCATAGGCTAGGTTCTTCCCATAGATCATCGTCGAACCTGAGATCTCCTCTTGGCTAGGTTCTTCCCTCAGATCATCTTAGAACCTGAGATCGCTCGTAGGCTAGGTTCTTCCCATAGATTATCGTCGAACCTGAGATCTCCCGTAGGCTAGGTTCTTCCTCATATCATCTTAAAACCTGAGATCGCCCGTAGGCTAGGTTCTTCCCATAGATCATCATCGAACCTGAGATCGCCTCTTGGCTAGGTTCTTCCTCAGATCATCCTAGAACCCGAGATCGCCCCTAGGCTAGGTTCTTCCCATAGATCACCGTCGAACCTGAGATCGCCCGTAGGCTAGGTTCTTCCATAGATCATCGTCGAACTTGAGATCGCCCATAGGCTAGGTTCTTCCTTAGATCATCTTAGAACCTGAGATCGCCCGTAGGCTAGGTTCTTCCAATAGATCATTGTCGAACCTGAGATCGCCTCTTGGCTAGGTTCTTCCATAGATCATCCTAGAACCTGAGATCGCCCATAGGCTAGGTTCTTCCCATAGATCACCGTCTAACCTGAGATCGCCTCTTGGCAAGGTTCTTCCCTCAGATCATCTTAGAACCTGAGATCGCCCGTAGGCAAGGTTCTTCCCATAGATCATCGTCGAACCTGAGATCGCCTGTAGGCTAGGTTCTTTCTCATATCATCTTAAAACCTGAGATCGCCTGTAGGCTAGGTTCTTCCCATAGATCATCGTCGAACCTGAGATTGCCTCTTGGCTAGGTTCTTTCTCAGATCATCCTAGAACCTGAGGTCGCCCCTAGGCTAGGTTCTTCCCATAGATCACCGTCTAACCTGAGATCGCCCGTAGGCTAGGTTCTTACTTAGATCATCGTCGAACCTGAGATCGCCCGTAGGCTAGGTTCTTCCTTAGATCATCTTAGAACCTGAGATCGCCCGTAGGCTAGGTTCTTCCAATAGATCATTGTCGAACCTGAGATTGCCTCTTGGCTAGGTTCTTCCATAGATCATCCTAGAACCTGAGATCGCCCATAGGCTAGGTTCTTCCCATAGATCACCGTCGAACCTGAGGTCGCCTCTTGGCTAGGTTCTTCCCTCAGATCATCTTAGAACCTGAGATCGCCCGTAGGCTAGGTTCTTCCTTAGATCTTAGAACCTGAGATCGCCCGTAGGCTAGGTTCTTCCTTAGATCGTCGAACCTAAGATCGCCCATAGGCTAGGTTCTTCCTCAGATCATCGTAGAACCTGAGATCGCCCATAGGCTAGGTTCTTCCTTAGATCATCTTAGTACCTGAGATCTCCCGTAGGCTAGGTTCTTCCTCAGATCATCTTAGAAACCTGAGATCGCCTCTAGGCTAGGTTCTTCCTTAGATCATCGTCGAACCTGAGATCGCCCGTAGGCTAGGTTCTTCCTATAAATCATCGTCAAACCTGAGATCGCCCATAGGCTAGGTTCTTTCTCAGATCATCGTCGAACCTGAGATTGCCCATAGGCTAGGTTCTTCCTCAGATCATCTTAGAACCTGATATCGCCCGTAGGCTAGGTTCTTCCTCAGATCATCTTAGAACTTGAGATTGCCCATAGGCTAGGTTCTTCCTCAGATCATCGTAAAACCTGAGATCGCCTCTAGACTAGGTTCTTCCTTAGATCATCGTCGAACCTGATATCGCCCATAGGATAGGTTCTTCCCATAAATCATCGTCGAACCTGAGATCGCCCATAGGCTAGGTTCTTCCTTAGATCATCGTCGAACCTGAGATCGCCTGTAGGCTAGGTTCTTCCAATAGATCATTGTCGAACCTGAGATCGCCTCTTGGCTAGGTTCTTCCTTAGATCATCATCGAACCTGAGATTTCCCATAGGATAGGTTCTTCCTTAGATCAACGTCCAACTTGAGATTGTCTCTTGGCTAGGTTCTTTCCATATATCTTGTCTTAGAACCTGAGATCGCACTTAGGCTAGGTTCTCTGTCAAATCACTCTCATGTTTCACCTTAGGATCGTAGGTCACCCATAGACCTCGTCCACTGTCTTTTTATACCAACCATTTGTCTTATATTGGCATCACGCTACGTCACAAGTCCAATCTCCGTCTCTTCATTGAAAAAACAAAAAATTCTTTCCCCCAACATATATCACAAAATAAATAAAAAAAGAAACACTTACACTCTCTTTCAGGACAAATTTTTGGTATTGGTATTTAATCATCTTCAACCTTGAACTTCCGAAAGGCATGCACCAATCGTACTTTCAGGTTTAAGATGATTAAATAGGGGCAACTGTAATACCCCAAATTTGTCCTACCCTTTTACTTTTATCTGGCTTATGCATTGTCGCGCTTTTCTCATGTACATAACTCCATTAGGTCATTTAACATTGCATACATTCACTAACAATATAACTTGGCAAGGGGTCGAGAACCATCAAGAATTAGGGTTTCAATATTGGTTTTCAGTGGAGATTTCTTTAAGCTAGAGTTTGGTTCCTCTTCACCATTTCAAGCCTCATCATCCATCTCCGAGAGTTATTTAAGGCATTTATATTGTGTGCTCCACAAGTCAAGATATCTTTGAAGATTGAGGTGCAAAAGCATTGAGTCATGATACAAAGATGAAGAGGTAAGTTCACTGCGAACAAGGCATTATTGTCCTCTCAATTGCTTATTGCTTGTAGAGCAATATAATATGGATTTGAGATCTAGGTTAGGAGTTTTGACAAGAAGGCAAGTTGATTTAGGTTTTTGTTTGTTAAGAATTAAAGTCAATTTGGATTCATTGAAGCTACTAATTGTGCTCAAGATTAATATTAGCGTAAGGTCTCAATTTCATGATTTGGAAAGGGTTGATTCAAGATAAAGTTAGAAGAATCGTTCATGTGGTTCTCTTGGTGTACAAGTTACGAATTTGCAAAGAATCACAAGTCATGACATCATTCAAGGTTATTCATTTAGTTTTGTTCATCAAAACTCATCAAGATCCAAGGGTTCACGTTCATTCAATGATATGATCTTTACAAGTTCTAAACACCACGCATGATTTTTCAAAGGGTTATCCAACTTCATTCTCGTTCATTCAAGGTCATAACCATGCGATTTACAAGCTATGTTATTGGAGCATTACAAGAGAAAATTACAAAGGCCATTTACATCCAAAATTACTAAATAAAAACAAAAATTTACACTAAATCTTCAAGTGGCCTAAACCTAAAGAGTCCCAAATTCCAGGTCTCCATCATCCATTTCTAAGCTTATTCATTTTCAAGCCATTATCTTCCAAGACTGCTTTATGCCCACTTGGTTATGTCCAAGCCTTAGTCCATGTTTCGTGCCAAAAGAAAACCTGCAAAAACAATCATAAACAAAAACAGTTCAGCATCCAAAAACTTTCTAACAGAAAATATGAGAATATTCCAGTTCACTCAAACAAAATTCAAACAAACAACTTACTTTCTAATTCATAACAGAATTCCATAACCTTATCTAACAAACTGAAAAAAATCTAAAACTAACTACAACTAACAAAATTGCTAATAGCTTCTAACCAAATTTAATAGAAATTCTCATCTAAACAAACTTCTATAACCAATTCTCTCCAATCCTCATCTCACCCTTGATTTGTAACAAACTCATCTCAGATCCATTGGCCAGAAATCATTCATCTCTAACTGTTCTAACTAATTTTGTAAAAACTTCCAGCAGGGGGGAATAGAGATAATAGAAAGCAGAAAAAGAAAACTCCCAACAGATTCTAACTTCCTAACAAACTTATAGCAGATTATATAATATAAAGAGGGGAGAATTATCGAGGGGGATTTATTATTCATACACAATTCATTCACATTTAGAATTCATTCATATAGGATTCACAATTTTTTTACGCAGATAATTATTCACACAGATATACAGAGATTTGCAATCAAAGAAAACTCACCAAAAACTTAAATTCTCTCTGCTATCTCTTGGAACCGCATCACTGCTATTTCTTCATAATCTTTGATTCTACGTCGCTATAACCAAATCTTCCTCTCTGAATTCAACACATTCATCATCATATATCTTCATGCATCTATTCAAGCTCTCTAGAAGCTCCATAATCATTTTCATTCTAGATCTCATCTTTCTACATCAACAACAAACACCTCAACGCAATCACACGGTTTTCTTAAATGATCGTCGTTTCCTACAACAAGAACACAACATTACAACATTGTTCAAAATTGCAAGAACAGAAGAAGAATGGAGTGGAGGATTTACCTGATTTGCAATTGGATTTCTGGTCATTGCAACACCGATAAAGGCGTATCAAATGGATTCTGGTTGATCTTTCGTGAACTCTTTCTTTAGTCTCCATTCTTCGCGGTTTCAACCTTCATCACTGAGCTTTGAGCTTCGATTCTCTGAATTCATCATCGTAACAAATTTCTCAATCATGCTTCTCACAACAACAGTGGGTACAGAAGATAAAGAAAAATCAAGAAAGGATAGCAAGAAAAAGAAGATCAGAAGACGAGTATCAAACACAGAAATGGAAGAATTGCACTACCTCTGGTTTTCGCAAATTCACCGTTGCTCCGAAGAGTCAACGACATTGCTCCAGTCGGTTTCTGTATAAGTGGGACGAGGCCTCCTCGTAGTTGCATCGGAGAAGGCGAATTGCACAAAGAGAGAGGTTGAACAAATACGAAGATGCTGGCTTTGTCCTTAATGATTCACGAAGGTTGAGCGGAAATAGGTCAGAGATGAAACGGAGCTGATGAAAGTCATGGCGGATCTGAGAATTGCATCGAAACATGGGAGGTGAGCCGAGGAAGACGAAGACCGAAGATTGAAAAAGCACTGTCGCGTTCTAAGGGTGAAGAGGTCAAGTCTCTCGGGGAAGGCCAAAAGCCCCAACTTTTAAACCCTAATTCCCAAGATACTTACTCTTTTTTATTATTATTTACTTATTTTCTTATGTTTTAATTAAATGCTAAATGATTTTAAAATCTGATTAAATGGTTTAAATTTGGTATGGGATGTTTATGGTATTTGTTTTACCCCAAAATTTTCCCTTCCATATTCCTCAAGATATGTCAAGAACCATCTCCAAGTTGTTCAAGATGGCTCAAGAGTTGGACAGCCAAATCACCTCCTAAGGCAGTCAATTCAAAATTAGGGTTTTGTGTTGCACCAAGGTCCTTACATCCAAATGACCTCAAGTTCTCCCCAATGTCCTAACATGTTCTCAAGTTCATCCATGTCAAATTTCAAGCCTTGCAGAGAAAGTTTGGTCAGTCAATTGCTCAAGAAGTCCAAAAATCGACTGTGCTAGGGCAAAAGTCAATTGTGACCTAAATATAGTCAAACCTCAAGATTTTTTGTCAACATTATCATTTTGAAGGATAATTCATCATTTTATCAAGGGTTGATCATGATTCATCAAGGGTTGCTCAAGATTCATCAAGATTCAAAAGTTGCTAAATTAGGGTTTTGCAGGAAAAGTCAACTCAAATTTGACCAAGCATAACTTTCTCATACTTTATGAGAAATGACCCATCAAAAGCTCATTTTGAAGAGGATGAAATTTCCTACAATCCATATTCACACCCCAATATAAATAAATGCTCTCACAAAAAGTTACAAATTTGGACATTATAGGTCATTTTTGAAAGTCAACAAAAACACCTTTTTTGCCAAAGCTTATAACTTGAGCATGGAATATCAAAATGCGATGAGACTAAAAGGGTTGATTATAGGACATCTCAAGGTTTCTAAAAAGTCCAAGAAAACTTCCAAAAGTTCAAAATTGAAGAAGTTATGCATTATTGAAGTTGGGCATTTTTCCAAAATTGCCAAAAGTCAACTATCCTCCAAACTCCAATTTTTGACAAAAGGGCCCACTTTTTCCCACTTGATTTGGTCTTATCACACCACACACGTGTCCCATCTTTAATTTCATGACCAATCATTTATTTTTCTATTTTATTTAATTTTTATTGATTTAATTCATTTTAAATCAATATTAATTCAAATAAAATCTAAAAATGGATGGAATGATATCTTTTTGATCATTGCAGCTTTCAATTATCATGATTCACCAAATCAAATTCGTATCAAGCATTGTTGTGCACAAAAAAAATCAGATTTGGCATAGTTTTGGAAACTTTATCAATGGTGATCAAATCAAATCTTGATTCTTCAATGCTCATGGATTAAGGCCCAATTTTTTAACCTAATGCAATCCTTATTACATACACAAGCCATACACATCAAGCACACACCCTAAGAACTGCAGAAATGGCCAGACAGAACTTGAGAAAAAGCTTGAAAACTTGGAATCTGAAATCCACCTTAGAGCACGATTCAAAGCAAAATCTCCACATAGCTCTCTTGCTTGCAATCTCCTGAAGCTATAACAACCAAAACCAGGCCTTGAGACCACTTGAAACACGCTGTAAGTACTCACGAATATGCCTCTGTACACGAAAACATAACTCATCATTCTTGTATCTTTTTGACAAAACATTAGCATATTCTTGTTCCTTGTATGATTTCTAAGCGTTTTGTAATATTCAATTTCATTTTCATGGCCTGTATCATAATGCCCGAACCTAGGGTTTTCTTGCTTTGCTTTTAGGCGTTTCAATTATAGGTGAAATTAAAGCAAACCATGAACATGGTTGAGTTCAGGGAAGAGAGACGAGTAAAGTGATGGTCCCAAAAGTCGTTTCTATGGCCTGGGGATGATTCTGGGATTGAGCCACGAATTTTGTTGCGGAACCAAATCCGCAGGAAACAAACCAGTACCATTTGGAGAAGATGATAACGTGGCTTGTTTCCATTGGCCAATTCAAATATGTTTAACGCGTTTTTTTAATTCCCATGCATATTAATTGTTTTCTATATAATATTTGTTATGTATTTCATTAACGAATAAGCAGTTTGGTTGGGTTGGTGAGCGCGTTGGCATTTGAGCATTGGGACCTGGGTTCGAATCCCAGGTCCCCCAATGCCTTTGTATTATTTTGTCTAACATAATTCCATGCAGGGCTCACCATATGCCCTTGTCCAGATGCTAGCCAGGTGGTTTTAGATCAGATCCAAGGGTCCAGATTGCAAGCTCACCATACTCCAAGTCAACAAGCGCACGCTGGAGTGGAAAAGTCAAATGAGGCTGGGACATTTTGGGCCTCAAAAATGCTATTTTCACACTCAATTTGGGCCCAGCACCCCCCTGGGTTTATTTCTTTTTCTCTTTTATATTTTTATTTAATTGTTTTTATTAATTATTATTCTTAATTAATTACTAACCAAATAATTATTATTTTTCTTAATAAAATCAGAAAACATAAAAAATATTATTTTTATTTATTAAACTTAATTTCATTATTTTATTTTTGTAAATAAATATTAACATAATTAACTTAGTTTTAAATAGGTGTAACATTTAATATTTTTTGCAATAAATTAAAATCAATTTAGAATATTAGGTTTTTAATAATTTTGATCATTCTTATTTTATTTCCTTAAATATTCTAAAACCCAAAAATATATTTTATTATTTAATTAATTAATTAACATAGATTTAATTTCCATTTAATTCAAAATAACAAAAAATATGCTTTCTTTAATATAAAAAAGGGTCAAAACCCTAAAAATGCGCCGTTTAATTTTCTCGCACGCGATCTATTTGTTTCCAATATTGTAATTGCTTCCGGTATGTAATAATTTTTTAATTAGGACTTTATTTATTTATCGCTTTTATTTACTTTCCGCAATTTAAATTAAAGGGTTTGTCTTTGGCGATGTAAATACCCGACGCCTTGTAATAGCTTAGATTTAATTTCCCGCAATTTAATTTCTGCACAATATTAACTGTTAGATGTTTGATAACTAGGCAATGCATGACAAGATCAATCTTTAACCTAAAATCAACATAGCTCACCATTGACATGTACAGATAAAATTAACTGAATTAACACACTCGCACATGCGCACTCTTAGGGTACACCTCACTTGGTTGCCTCGAACGTGGTCATTGAGTATAGGAAGTTTTAGAGGTCGCCCTCTTGTCCAAGGATCATAGTTGCCTCGAAATGGTTGCCTCAGAAAAATGATCTAGGATATTAGGGTTACCGCTAAGGCATCCTAACATTGCTTTAGTGACCACACGTCCCTTAACCGTATTGACCCGAAAAATCCAACGACGGTGCTACCTACTCCTCAATAGTGGGATAGCACTGTCTAAAGGACATTTGTACAGTTTAATTCCTTTTTGAGTAGGTAGATGGTTCTTAAGTACTTGCTCCTTTTAAAACAAAATAAAACTTTTCGCACTTACACCCCTTTCAAACAAAAATTCTTTTCAAACCCACAAACACCAAAGAAAAGCAAACTTTTGAAAACACAATGAGCAAGTACCTAAGAGCCCGTGGATAACCACGGATAGAAAGGGTGCTAACACCTTCCCTTTCTATAATCTACCTCCTGAACCCGAGAAATATCTCAAGAAGGAATTTTTCTGTGCTTTTGTCCTTTCCTTGTTGGATAAAATAAAAGACGGTGGCGACTCTTGCTTACCGCGACATTTTGCAAAAACAAACGCAAAACGCGAACCAGCATTCCAAAATAGTCAGCTCTCATTCCCACCGATCACAGTATTGATTGAAGGGATCTTGGGCTTGTTGCTGGACATCTCTTAGCCCATTGATGATCCATTTTTGGTACTACCTAGAGCTGGCAACAAAATAATTGTTGATGGATTTCTTGGCTGGGCTTAGATTCTCTTGGATCCACACATCCACTATTTGCTGCTTACACCCCCTGTTCATAATCTTTAGATTCTTCTATACTTCTTTTAATCAATTTTTGCTAATAGAATTTGTGATTTTAGGAGATAATAAGAATAATAAAAATAATACAAAAATAGTAGAATATTTTAGGAGATATTTTTAGATTCTCTTTAGAATTTTATTAGAATTTTCTATTATTTTTATGCTTGGTAATCGCTTTTGTTGCCATTTTTTAGCTAGGATTTTATGACAGGATATTGATGTAACTTTCGCGATGGGAAATGCTTGGAGATTAATTTTTGATAACTCATGCGGAGCAACTTCTGTAGAGTTTTCTTATCACTTATGTAACTTCGAAGAGGCAACGGACCTTCTCCGTTCGGTATCATCGTAACCTTATTTTATTCCCCATTTCCGCACTTTATTGCTTTCTAGATGCCATGAGAAGTAGGAAATAAAGAGCGTGCTCTCAAAGTCGCTGTTTAAAGACCTATAGCAGGAATTCCGCACTTCATTTGCTATATGTGTTGTGCTTGTGTTTGTATCTTGGTTGATTGATCGATGAGTCACTCAATTTAGAAATTGTGATCACGACTTCGCTCTCAGCGCATGCTCCCTGTGATACGGTAGGAGAACTGACTTGAAGGTTTTGTGTTTTATCGCAAATGTTGCAGTTAGCAAGAGTCGCCACCGACTTTTCTTTTATCCAAAAGGAAAGGTAAAAAATCACAGGAAAGACCTTTGAGATTGTTTCTTGAGTTCAGGGGGTAGATCATGAAAAGGGAAGGTATTAGCATGCTTTTCATCCATGGTTTTCCATGGGCTCTTAGTTACTTGCTAGATCACTTGCTTTTTTTTGAATGTGTGCTTGTGGTGGTGATTTTTTAAAGTATTTTGAAAATGGAACTTCGTAATGGTTCTCGTCTCTATAAGAATGCATACAAAGTGTTTGTTTCGAAAATGTTTCCAAAAAAAGTGTTTGCGAGAAGTGTTTTTTGAAAGTGATTTTGAAAATGTGTCT